CCCCCCCCCCCCCCCCCTCCCTCACGCGAACAACAAAAAGAATCAAATAAAAACGTCCTCCCCAGACAACGGAGCAAAAAATTCACATCCCAACGCCGCATCCTCGTTATGCGCCCGCAACTCCTCCAATATCACCTCCCGCGGTGATGCCCCATCCGCAAGTGCATCCTTGACATGGATGATGTAAACCTGAAGGCCATCTAACGGTCTCTGGCCCGAACCAGATCTTGTGGATCTCGAGCTTATCCCTAGGGTATCTCTCTTATCACCGCGATCATCGTCCATGGGAGACCCGGTTGCCGGTGGTGTTGAAGATTGCCGGTCGTCATCGGGTCTTAGTGTTGCCTCAGCCGGAGAATCGCAGGAGCCAGAACGTCGAGTTCGCCGCTTCGAGCGGGATGAGAAGGTTGTCCTTTGACTTTGGGAGAGGGGGTTGGAGACTGTTTTGGGGCTGACGGGTTCATCAGAGACTGGGCCCCCTGAGGAGGTTCCTGCGTGCTTGCGCTTTCGTCCTGTAGCCATGTCACCGAATTTTGGCTTTGTGACTTTTAATACCTTGCCGGCTAGGACTTCTAGTTCAGCAATGAGGTGGCGTGGGCACAAATGGCCATATAGAGAGCTGTCCTCGACCGAGTCCATGAAGGAGCATTCGATGAAGATGGCCCGGAGGGATCCGTTGACGACTTTGGGGGCGGCGATTTCCCATACCTTCTCATTACGGGGTTCAAGGGCTACGCTATCGGGTTCAATATCGCCGAAAACGATGATTTCCTTTCCAGAATGATCATCACGGAGAAAGAAGGCAGAGCTCTCAAGAGTTGCCACGGCCCTGTCTTTACTGTTGAGGTTAACCCCACACTGTACCTGATGATTTGGGGTGCATGCTCGACTAGAAAGATATTGTATTTTAGCATTTCGCCATTCCTCTTGGCTCTGGCCCATATCAGACTGGAAAACTTACGCCAGATCCTGAGTGTCTATTGATACTCTCCTCGACGGAAGGAATCCAGAATCCGTAGTGAACACAGTGCTTTCAGCTCGATGGTATTGGCCCGTTTCCGGGTGAAAACGCTGTGCACAACGGCCGTGGCTAACACTTAGGCATTTGGCAAGTATCCCATCACATGCTCTGGTATAGCCACGGCAGTCCCCACGACCCAGCCTGGGATTTCCTCCGTCAACTAGCCGATGATAAGAAATCAAACCTGCGCCACCATCCTCATCAGACAGGTTAGGCCACGTAATATCGTTAAAAATGTGATTTTTTATCGCAGCAATGGTTGGTGGCAGAGCAGCGACAATTTTAGGATTCGATTGGGTCTCCACCAGTGGGGTATTCATGGCCAAGCCAGCGAGATGGTCCAAATGAGGATGCGTGATGAATATAGTCGAAATAACCTCGCGGAAAATATAGGCTGCATTGGCACCGGAGGTAGAATTTGGGAGACCAAGTCCAGCAAAAGGTCCGTCAATCATCCGGACTTTAACGTCCGTTGATTCCTCATCTTTGATGAATTTGGAAGAATCGAGTGTTCGCATAATCCCTGCTAATAGCGTGCCCGCGTCTATAGCTATGACAGAGCCTGCCGACCAGTTTGTAGCTGTCGAACGAACTAACAGCGCTGAAACTATGTCCTCTCGCGGTCCGCCTGAGGAGCCCTATATACCCAGAAGCATTAATATCATTCTATATTGTATAAATCAACGAAGAAAAGCGGATCAAAGTATAGTGGAAAAACTCGTTGTAATCCCGATAAGAGAAATGACCAGACTGTGTAGAAAAGGTAAACAAATGAAGAAAGAGGGATTGATTGGAGGGTTATTTTCTCACCACAGACAAATATGAAGAAATAATATCAATAATGTCAATTTACAAAAAAATACAATATCACTCTCAAAACCAGTTGATACCAAAAAAAAAAAAATAAAAATAAAAAAATAAAAATAAAATAAATAAATAAATAAAAATATGCAACTCCATATTTGCCTCCCAAAACAGGAAACAACGAACTCACTCACCAGCACAATAACATGGAAAAAGCCTTTCCGCTGTGTCTCCGAACTGAGACACCGTCTCGCTCTCCGCCCCTGGCCGCCATCACGATGCATTGCGCGCAGGGGAAGGGAGAAGGGGGTATGCCACGAGCTGGACTAACACGGACGACGCATATAAGCATCCAAGATTCCGAGTCTTCTTCTGGCCAAGATGTCCAAGCGTCTTTCTTCTGCGAAAGCCCCGTCACCTCCCACTGTGCATAGTGGAGGGGAAATCGAATGGAATCCGGCTCGGCTCTTCTTCCGGACGTAACGTGAATGGGGGAGAGGGCGGATGTCCCTGGCTTCTTTTGGATGTATGTATCCCTAGCCTGTATCAACCAGCAATTCTCTGGGTGAAAGCAAAAAAACTCCACTCCACTCTTATTTCCCCCCCCTCCCTCGATTTCCAATCTCCTCTCTGGGACTCTGGGACTCGTTGTTTGTCGCACGGTCTCCTGATCCTCCAGCCTGAAGTAACTCTATATTATAACGGTTGCGCGCTCGGCGGGTTTCCTACACCGTTTATTCCCTTCCGTGCACGAGAAATTATTGGCGTGTCGATATCTGTGACGTGAAAACGATAGCTAACTCGAAGAACTGGACGGCTCCTGGCTCTGGGTGACTCGTCTCGTCTCGTCTTTGTCGTGTGCTCGCGTTGCGATTCTCCACATGCGGGATTTTTCCTTTTGTTGCCCCGGTGTCGCCTCAGCAGAGATTGTTCTTGTTCGACGGACTGAGCAGAGGACGCATATGCCGTGTACTGCGGAGATATGGGTATAGGTATAGGTATCGGTATCAATGGGGATTGGTTTTTCTTTTGGTTCAACGCAACAGGAATTCAGAGGACTACTAGGGTTGAAGTTGAAGTTTGGCAGGCTGCCACGAGGTTAAGGTTAGCCGGGTGTGATGTAAAGTTTGAAGAAAGTTGGGAGGCGAAGTGTTGTTTGGCTTTTCCCCCTGTTTCAATTGTGCTCGAGTCGAGAGTGTGTGGTATAGTATTGTGGTGATGGTATTATCAACGAAAGAAGAGGAATCGAAGCGGTAATACACACATACTTAAATAGGCATATTTGCATGCTCACCAACCCGTTGATCGACCGCCAACAGAAACAGACAACGCTTTCGACAACCAAAAAGCTAAGCAAGAATATGCGACTGGGCGGAAGTCGCATCCAATCACCAGCCCAGCCCTCCTCGTCGGGTCTTTTTGCCCCAGAAGGAAAAGAAAGTAATATTTTTTTTTAAAAAAAAAAAAAGGCGAAAGGAAAGTCATCGTTTCGGGCGATAAGGCCGAGATCCATGTCCAATGACGCCTAGTTTTTGTCATGCGCAAAGCTGATGCGGACATGAATGATGGAGCACACCACTCCGTCAGTTATCATTCATTCATTACCTGAGATATCCTAGCCAAGGGAAGAGAAGTAGCGAGAGGCCGAGGTTGGTAACAAGGCGGCACATCGCATCTCATCGCGATACCATGCCATGCCAATGCCATGTCATGCCATACCATACAAATGGTCCCGAAGTGAATAGCGTATATGCGGCCGGTTTGAAGCTTTGCGCCGATGGGGCCGATCATTGGTGATCCAAAATCCGATGCGGGCTTTTTTCCCCTATTCCTCAGGGTTCTGGAAGGGTTTGAGTTTGTTCTGCGCCCTTGTGTACCGTGGAGTAATAAATATGTTTATTTTGTGCGGTATCTGTTCATGGTTCCATGGAGGCTGGATCATGGACTTGGACATGGACAGAACATCGGCTTGTTCATCTTGCATATGGTATTGTTCCTGAGCTAACTGCTAATTATACGATGCTTGGATCAAATAGCCTTTGTTATTTATGGGATATGGAGGTTACAGTCCTCATCATCCTCCTCACCACCACCAGCTTCCTCACACCGACTTACTCGAGGAAACTCCAGCATCGGTAAGGGAAACGGTGAGGAATCACAGGTTAAAATAATAGTGTGGTATATGCGTAAAAAGCCTATATATTTATAAAAAGAGAAACAATCGCACACATGTCTTTGTACAGAAATGACTGATTCGCGCCCGGCAAAAAAGGTCCACCCGTCGCTTAACTTTCAACTCCATCCACCCACTCCAATCCTAAAGTAGTGGTTATGTCAACACAAAAATGGGGGGAGGAACGTAGAGTAAAGTAAGTGAGAAGGCGATGCGCATTCCCAACATGACATTTTCTCCTCTTGTTATATTTCTCAACATCTCATTCCGGCTGTTGAAACTCGAAGCACAGAAACAGGAAATAACAGGTGCATGGAGGTGTTTTATGGGGGACGTGGAAGATATAATAGAACATATACGAGGAGTTTGTTCCCGTCGCTGTTGATCAAGGTAATCACCCAGTTCAAATCCAATCAGAAAACATAAGGAAAAATTACGCACAAAACCCGAAGAACGCCTTCCCAAACCCGTGTTCGCTAAATCGACAAATGGGGAGTAATGATAGATAGAAAAAGGACAAGGCAGAGGAAAAGTAGGGATCTTTCCGACAAAAGAAAGGAGCATTTTGTCAAGAGGGAAAATAATATCGAAGGGGAGAAAGCTGGGAAGCAAGGAGAAAGGTCGTATATAATTATAGATCTTGCCGTGCGCGTGAGCCTCCGTCATTTCTTACTGCTGCATCGTAGCTAGGGATCGGGGGGCTTCTTGAATCGCGCCCAGGTGGATGCCGCTCGCCGTACTCACTGTGGGTCGGACTCTGTTGCGGGCTGGAGTATTCTGGAGGTGGAACAGCTGATATTACCCCATCAGTGGGTCGTAGCGTTGTTCGATCGTCTCGCTCATATGTCACGTTTGGCGTTCCACTTGACCCTTCACCAACATCTATTTGGGTCGATATATGGGGGAGTTGGGCGAGAGAAATATCTGTGGGAGATCGAACGGGGCCGGGACTCACGGGGTACGGCATTCGGATCGTGCCGCTGCGCGTTCGTGAATGGCCCGACTCGTGCTGGCCCCATTGCGTAGAGGAGTGATGGCCCTCGCGGCCCGTCTCCAGCAAAATGCTGCCCTGCTCACTTCCATAGGGAGGTGGAGGTGCCAGACTACCTGTCATTGGTGCGAGGCCCCATTTTTTGACATTGGCCTCAATGAAAACAAATCCCATCTGCCCGAAGTTCACATGGACCGTGCAGGGTCCATTTGCTCCAACAGTAGGGAAGAAGTTTTGAGACTTCAGTCCCTGTGCAGCATCATCAAGTTTCTTCCCGTTGCGGGTGAAGAATATCGTTCCCGTGCGCGGCCGATAGCCCACACCAATCACGTCTCCTTGGACATATTCAGGGCCGTAAGCAGTAGGCGTGAACGGCTGGTTATAGCGGCGATGTCCTGTAGACAAATAGGCTACAGAAGTTTTATGGAAGCCTAGCACAGAAGACATATATGTTAGGCTGAAAGCTGATATCAAGAGACGGGCAGGTCAAAACAAATTCATACCTGGAAGTCGAAATAATGGGTATGGTTTCGTTGTCATGCCAATGCTTATAAGGCTGGTTTCTGGTTTATCGTATATTTTAGCTTCCCAATAATAAACTTCGTTTTGTTTAGGGACCGGCAGGTTGCTCTGGACGCTGCACTCTGAATCGAAGAATTCGATTTCGGTTCGAGCTTCCACGAAGCAATTAGCAATCTCAAGCTCTGGTTCAAATTCCCACGCAGAAACGCCCTTTTCTTGGATGGCCAGGAACTGTGATAGCGAAATATCTGTTTGCATCGTCTCGGGGGGGTTTGCTTGGATGAAGGCTATTTATTGGATTCAAGCCCATGTCAGCGAAAGAAAAAAAAAATATACCCTAATGTGACGGATGCGCGGGATTCCCATATCCTCAACAGAAAGTAAACACATACCCTTAGCCCTCAGATATTCCGTCTGTTGCAATTCATCCATCGTTTCCAACGCCTCCGCTTCCTCTCTTGCGAATGCCTGTTCGTCATCATATTCACCGGGCCTTCCGATTCGGTCAAGTATAATGCGGCCCCGCTGAGTATATCTGAAAAAGAAGAAAACAGCAAGCACAACGATTGCAACACCCGCGGAACCAAAGGCAGAGAGAATCCCGATCAAGATGCCCTTGCCGGTGGAACCGACATTCCCTCCAAGCCCAGCCATGACATCTCCGTTGTGCGGTGCGAAGGGAGCGGTGCGGCCGTTTGAGAACGGCTGAGCCGGCGTGATGACAGGCCGCTGTGGACCTAGAGAGAGCTGAGCAGATGGCTTGTCCGTAGGCGAAGGAGGACGAATGACGGCGGTGAGCGTTGACTGCGAGGTAACGCCCTCACGACTTGGCATCATTCATTTGAGGAGGACTGAAAGAGGCTTTTTGCAATAGGTGGCTGGACACCCGATGGAGGAAGATAGAGAGGAGAAACACACAAAAGAAAGTCGAGGTCTATGGTTGACGCCACAAATCAACCGTCTCGACAGCAAAACCACGATGATGGCTGATAGACGGATGGAGGAAGGGGTGCGGGAGTTCCAGGTTTGGAGGCGAAGATTCTCTGGATGGTTTGGATGCCTTTTGAGACAGCAAGCGTGGCTGGGCGGCGATTGTTCGGGTCGGCGGGGCGGCGGCTGACTAAGTGGCGGTGGTTGACATCATTCGCCGGCGGCTTGGCTGGGAACCGCCCCAGCTTCCATCCAGGTTGGCTTGGAATCAATCAAAAAACAGGAGGCAAGTCGACATGAAACTATGGCCGCTGACCGTTTCTTTTATTGACGACTACGCTGAAGCAACTGAGGTTCACTGCTGTTTGTGGAGGAGTACCCTACCACCGTGGAGCCGGTGTTCGGCTTCACTCCATCGCAAGTACCCTGACTGCCCTGGTTCCATCAAGATGTTTGAGGCCTCTGTTTCTAGCTAACCCTTTCCCCTGGCTGTGTTTCAGGCAATTCATCAACTTAACTTCGCTGCTTGTCCCTTTTCCCATCTTCCCCTACTTAAAGATCGAGGGAACATCTGCAACCGACCACTGCAGTCATATGTTTTTCCGTGTGGGATGTCTGTCCACAGTTCAGTTACCGCTGGCTCCGAAATAAGCGAAATATGGCGATATACTCACAAGTCCCCTAGACAGTAAGAGACGTTAGCAACGCAGAACTCACAAGCCTGACTCGGACCTGAGCGTGCTGAAGAAAAGGGCATAGTTCAAACTATCAATGCCATTCTATATTCCAGTGTTGGAAACTACCTAATACCCGACTTTCAGCATGTTGCCAATACGATGAACGGGAAGTGTACATTTAACAGAATAGTATTTCTTGTAATTCTTTAGGGTATTTGAATTGATCTAAAAATAGCATGGGAAAAGATTGTATGTGTACGGAGTAGTAGCTTGAGAGTTTCCACAGAGAGCATGATATTGGTGAAATCCCGGATGGAAGAGTCTTCTTGACGATTTCACTAATATGAATTAGAGCAAACAGCCAAGGGCAAGATTATTGCTGGGGGCAAAGCCACGGCTCCAAGAAATTCACCGATAACGGGTTCAACAATAGATATTTAGCTCCCACGATACAAACTCGAAGTGAAGGTACACTGGTGCAAACCCGCAAGACGGTGAAAAAAACCTCCTCCCTATCAATATATTCACTTGCGGACACAAAAATACATATACTTAGTTGATGACCGGTAGGCAAATGTATTCAGAGAGAGTAGTGACAGAGCAATACCTGGTTTCCTTTTTCGAGGCATTTCATGTTCTTTTTATGGATTTTTAGCCACCTACTTAGCGCTCGGATATTTAGTTACCGTGGAGACTCATAACACACTAGCAAGCTTATCCACCCCGTCCCTAGTGCACACTACAACACTTCAACAGTACATACCTTTGCACCTAGAGAATGGGTCCTCCTTTAGCTCAAGAGCTTACTCAAGCCTGCAACCAGCCACTTGCTGCTACCAGCAACCTGCAGCCTGATGATGGATACAAGATCGAACTCCGGGCTGAAAATGGAGTCGACAAATATCCTGGTAAGTAATGGCGCCTTGGGCTCCGAAACCAATTCTGCACCGATGCGTACTGATTTGCTAATCCATAGACTGGATAATCAATAGCAAAACAACATGCGCGAAAGGTTGCCGCTCAGATCCGCCAGGGTAAGGGGCTTATTTTTCTGATGGGTCAGAAATCTACACTACACGAAGACTCCGACCAGGAGAGGTCGTTACGGCAACGGCGCTACTTTTTCTATCTGTCAGGCGTTGATGAAGCCGATTGCGACCTTACCTACGACATCAAGACTGATAAATTGACTTTATATGTCCCCGATTTTGATTTGAGACGGGCAATCTGGATGGGGCCCACCTTGGAACGAAAATCCGCATTACAGAAGTGAGCAGAAAGATATTGTCATTTCGAGCTTGGAACAGTATAATCGTGCCTAGGGAATCAGACGTGGGCTGATTTTATGTAACATAGGTTTGACGTCGACGAGGTTAACTACCACTCTGCCCTGGATGAAGATGTCAAGAAATGGGCTAAGAATCAAGGCCCTGGCTCAACAATATACCTTCTTCACGGATCACAAGGTCCCACAGACAACCCATCCAACGTCATTATCGATACCAAAACGCTCAAGCTGGCGATGGATGCCTGTCGAGTTATAAAAGATGAACATGAGATTCAGCTCATCCGACGCGCCAACGACATATCAGCTGCTGCTCATATAGAAATTCTCCGTGGAATAACATCAATGAGCAACGAGTCTCATGTAGAGGGCAGCTTTTTGAATACGTGCGTCTCGCTAGGGGCGCACAAGCAGGCGTACCAAATAATCGCCGCCTCTGGCTCGAATGCAGCTACGCTTCATTACTCGAAGAATAATGAACCTCTCAGAGGCCGCCAGTTTGTCTGCCTGGACGCTGGCGCCGAGTGGAATTGCTACGCAAGTGACGTGACACGTACCTTCCCGATCACTCACCAATGGCCGAGTATAGAAGCCAAACAAATATACCAATTGGTGCAGGAAATGCAGGAAAGCTGTATTGCACTTGTCAAAGAAGGGGTCAGATATCTAGACCTTCACTTCTTAGCACACAACATTCTCATTAAGGGATTCCTTACCCTCGGCATATTCAAGGGCGGCACGCTAGATGAGGTCAAGAAGTCTGGTGCATCCCTCCTCTTTTTCCCCCATGGCCTTGGCCATTATATTGGTCTAGAAGTGCACGATGTTTCTCCACAATCCATAATGGCACAGGGCATCAATGATGATTCCAACAATATGTTGATTTTGCCAACGTGTGTATCGCCTTGTACCACATCATCGCCTGCCTTAACATCCGGGATGGTGATTACAATCGAGCCGGGGATCTATTTTTCGCAGCTCGCGCTGGAAAATGCGAAGCCGGAACAACTCAAGTATATCGATATGGCACGAGTCAAAAATTACATGGCAGTCGGAGGCGTGCGGATCGAGGACGACATTTTGGTTACGAAGACAGGGCACGAGAATTTGACCAAGGTCCCGAAAGGAGATGACATGTTAGAGATTATTCGACAGGGGAAGAAGGGAAATGACTCACACCATGTGTAGACCGACCGAACGACGTGGTGATTGTTGAATTCAAGGATGCCTCGCGCTCACTTGGAGAGACAATCGCCAATCAATAACCCTAGATTATAATATCATTATCTTACGCCATGCTTGCAACTCTCTGGCGACCTACTATGACTCGTACCTATCCTATAATTTTGGAGAACTGGCGTAGAAGCTTTCGCTATGGATTTTTTTTTATTTTTTATTTTTTTTTTCATTATTTTTCATCTATTTATTTATATTTCGTCTATTTCACGGTAGTGCTGCATCTGCTAGAAAGTTACAATGAACCTGCCTTCCAACTCCATCAATTTGCACTTATATTTATTTTATGGCTATTTTATTTTGTTCCTTTATTTTAATTTCGTAGTTACGAGTACTACTCGCAGGCCCACCTGCTTGTCAATTCAATATCCCCTATCATCGCCTCCGCTCCCGCCAGATGGCAAGCAGATAGCTTTGGATGAGATGATAGATAACTTCAGAAGTTTCACAAACCATCAACTCTGATCATTTAGAAGACAATTAATATGATTTAGATTCTATTGAAGTATCCACTGTCTAGATTTTAATCGCGTGGCTGGGGTTGGCACAGAGAACCCCCCGGCCTTCAAAGCCGTTTTGCTGACTAATAAAAAAGCCACTTCAATGTCTGTTGGAGGCCTCGGCTACCTATTGAAGACTAGTGTACAGAATACGGAGTACCGTACATTCAGCTGCCACTAATACAACCCCAATTTCTGTTGGCCCTAGGCTGCCTATCACGGACTAGCGCACCGCACATATATGCCTCAGCTGCCGACATGCTAATACAACCACTTAGACGTCCCACAATTTCCAAGCTGCAGGTCACATGAACACGCGCTACGCTGGCCAATGACATCATCTTGTGATCTCAACACCCTGCCGTGACTCATTCTGGTGGTGTGGTAGGTGCTCGGGTGCCCAACTTTCCCTTTGCCAGCGGCCTTCTTCCCTCCCGAGGCTGTAGACTCTTAAGGCTGCAGTGCTTGGGCTAAATGACTCACCTGATAGGTGGATGAGTCGATATAAACCGTCTCTCCCCTGTTACATTTAAAAACAAGAGAAATGTTCTTTTGATCAGTACTAGTTTTTCAAACGTCTTTGGCGTTTGGGTTTGTGCTCCCTACCCCGCTACTCTCCATGACTTCACGGATGTGATATATCTTCTCCATCTGTTCTTCACTTTGCTTCACTCCTACTATATCATATATCATGGGCCAAAAACATAACAGACGACGGACAAGACCGCGCTCCCGGTATCGTTCAAATGCTCTTCCAAAGCAAGATGTCTTGCCTGCGGCGGCCCCTGCCTGCCAGCTACCTTGTGACTCCAGTCGTTTAAGGACTCCTCTATTTAGTCCCTTCCCGTACCTGATGCCTGACCCTGAGCCGCCAGCAACTGCGCAAAAATGGCAAAATCAGCAAATTGTGTGTCAGAACGGCAAAGGCCGACAAATTCAGGAGGCCACGAAGTTGGAAGCTGAATATTTCCGCCTGTTTGGAGGCGAACCGGGGGATGATATAACCTTGTGCTATCGCATGCTGGAATACTTCGGGGGACTCGATTATATTGATTGGTGAGCGTTCACGCTGACCCTCCCCACCTCGCCCGTTCCTCCCCGTTCCCTCCTGTCATGACGACAGAAAATGAATTTATCCGTTCTTCATGGAGGAATTTCTCAGATAGCCCCCTACGATGGTTGCAACATTCCTACCCTTACCCCCTTCAAGAACAGGGAACCATTGAAACAGGCATCTCACCAGCTACCAGCGCCTGGATATGCTAGTTGAGAAACTCCAACTTGGGGAGTATTTGGTAAACAAAATTGAAACATGCCCCCACAACATCAAACATCTTTCTTCACGTCCATACCAACCACCAGAGCGTGGACTATTCGACGCCCCGGCCCGTAGCAATGACGGTATCAACCTCATGCAGTAACGGCCCCTTGCCCCTTAATGTTGGCAATAACTTCGGGGGGCCTGTGGATTCACCCTGCTAGGTGATACTTGATTGGTCAATAACTGCTCGACCATTGATCTCTTGGTGGTGGGATTTGCCAAATCAAAGCCTCCGAAACCAACCAAAAAAATAAAAAAAAAAAAAAAAAAACCTCGACGGTTTGTTCCGACGTTTCTCGATAGCCTTCCCCACTGCCTGACCGTGAAAGCAGACGGTGCTCGCATTCAAACATCTCTAGTCCGTAAGGAATGGATCTGCGGCATGCTTGAGCTCTCTGCAAGTTGGTTGTTCCATCAAAAGCCGACGCGGAAACGAAGAAAAGGGCAGCGGATGTGTGCAGTCGGGTTGTCTGTGGAAGAGATGCGAAAAATTCACGGGGGGTTGGAAATGAAATGGCTGATGTTCTGTGTGGTAGCTTCTGATGGATATTGCTTCTGCTTCCTGCTTTGAAATGTTTTGATTAGTGATGGCAGCTTGACCATTGGCAGATGATGGCGTGCAGCAACAAGACTATTTTTTGTGTTGTCAATTCAAGTTTTAGTGTCAATTCAAGTTTCAGCAATTTTGGGCTTCATATCTCTGCTCCTGTTAAGTGTCTCATATATGTATACCTCCGTACTACGGTTCCTCAAATCGAAATAAGCATCATTTTTAAGTTGGTATCTGGCCAAAAATAAGCTCATGCGGGTGCTACTAGTCCCAAAGGACACTAGCTCGGCCCAAGATCAGCTGCGATGGAGCTAAACCCAGTTCGTCCCAAATCTCCCGCGAATGTTGTCCTTTCCTGGTTTTCGCATTGACCATCGCTGGCACAAAATCTTCGTGAGCACCACAACCACAAACTGTGACCGGCTGCGTCTCCCTCTCCTGGTATTTCCAGTCCCAGATCGATTCTCCTTCCTCTCCTTTATAATCCACCATGTGCTTAGTCCTCGGCTCCCTTGCTCTCTAAATTCCTAGTTGCCGGAGCCCGGTATAAGCTTTTCTTCAATTTTTTTTTTTTTGTTACCCCCGGCAGCACATAGCTGGCCTCTTCCCCCGCTCCCGGTTGAAGAACTGCGGGAGCTACTCATCTTAGTTTTTCTCTGCTGAAGCGTGAAAATGTCTTCGAGGGATTATAATTACGATGAACAGGTAGGATAATCTTTCCCCTGACCTTGCCCGGCCATGCCACATACGCCTCGGCTTCGCTGCAACATGCATGCTAACTGTTATACGCCCAGGGCCAATTCTTCCCGTTTTTCATCCTCACTCTGTCTGCGCTCGTAACTCTTCCACTTACATATACCCTCCTTAAACCCAACAAAGGTGATTTTCGAAAAACATGTTTCCGCGCGGGATTGAAGCTGATGGCTATCTAGATCTGGAAAATACTGCGCCGCGGATAAAGTCTGACTTTCGTCCTCAGAATGGAGACATTATCCAGAAACAAAAGCAGAAACTCCTGCGGAAGGAACGCCGGTTGAAGCGCATATTCACTGTCCTAGGTGGATATGCAGTAATGGCATGGATGGTCTATTTGATTATCGTCACCGCTCGGACTTCCCCCAAAATATGGGACCCTTATGAAATTCTGGGAATTTCAAGAGTGAGTCTGACGAGCGAACAGGCTATCTTGAGGATTTTTCTACTGCGTTTTGGCAAAATTTCTAATTTTAGCTGTGCTAACTTTTACTGGTTTTGTAGAGCGCCAACGAGAAAGCTATTTCCAGACACTTTAAAAGGCTTTCCCTCCGGTTTCACCCAGACAAAATCAGACCGGATCCAAACAAAAATGAAACCATCGAAAGCTTGAACGACCATTTTGTCGAGTTGACCAAGGCGTACAAGGCCCTGACTGACGAGGAAATCCGCAACAACTATATCCAATACGGACACCCAGATGGCAAGCAAAGCTTTAGCATCGGTATCGCGCTGCCAAAATTCATCGTCACAGAAGGAAATGGTAAATACGTCCTTTTGGTATATGGTCTCTTACTCGGCGTGCTCTTGCCGTATGTTGTTGGTAAATGGTGGTATGGAACACAGCGATATACGAAAGAGAAAGTCCTTGTTGCAAGTGCTGGCAATATTTTCCGAGAGTATAAGGATGACCTGGTTGGCGGAGGTATAATCAGCGCTCTTAGTTCCGGCGAAGAGTATAAGCAGATGCTCAAGAACGAAAACGCCGAATCTGGACTTGCTAAAGTTGAAAAGAAAATTCTTTCTGATGATGATTCAACAGCCTCTGGGACATCTCTAACACCCAAGGATCGGAAGTTGTTAGCTGATCTGGAAAATGCAAGTAGAAGGAAAGCTCTCGCATTACTGTGGGCGTACCTTGGTAGAGTTGAGCTTGATGATCCCAATCTGAATGAAGGTAAATTTTCCATCGTCCCACAACTTTTCTTAATGCTGAACGATTCCAACCATTTTTTATGTAGAGAAATTTGGAGTCGCCCCCACAGCGTTTACCCTCAACGATTCTTTTTCGTCTATTGCGCTTGCTTTCGGCAGCCTACAGCCAATCCTTGGGTCATTCCACATGTCACAATACCTCATCCAGGCCATTCGCCCTGGTGGTTCACCTCTTCTTCAATTGCCTCACTTTACGCCGCAGATCGTTCGGTCGATCGAAGGCGAGCATGCGAGGAGCCACATGTCAATTTCACAATATATGGCACTTCCTGAGCAGCAACGACGAAAGCTGTCCGTGGGTAAAAATCTGCTAACTGAACAACAATACGCAAGTGCCTTGTCTGTCGTCCAGCAAATACCTGTCCTCCACGTCTCGAAATCATTTTTCAAAGTTGTAGGTGAAAAAGTGGTGACTCCTAGCAGCTTAGTTCAGCTCATCGTCAAGGCGCGGTTTATTCCACCAGGCTCAAAGAATATTCCGGAGGTCGACGAGCGTGACCTTGAATATGTTGACCCAGATGAAGATGACGTAGCAGCCAACAAATCCTTAGGAAGAGGAAAGGGTGGGAAAGAAGACCTGGAATACAAAATCCAGCCGCCACTTGCCCATGCTCCTTACTATGCTCGCGATCACTCTCCAAGATGGCACATTTTCCTCGCTGATTCCAGGCAAGGCAGAATGGCCGTCCCTCCCTTCACCTTCACCACATTTGACAAACCTATTTTCGACAAAGATGGAAAGCCCACCTTCAACATGCAAACATTGAAAATGCAATTCCAAGCCCCTCCCCAAGTCGGCAAATTCCACTTCTCTCTTCACATTGTCTGCGACAGTTACATCGGATTCGATACTGTTAGTGAGACCACGCTTGACGTTGAGGATTTTGCCAAGGCTGCTGCCCTGGAGGAAGAAGACGATATTTCCGAGCCCGACGAGGGTATGCATGTTCACGTTCCCCGCTTCTCAATAATATATGTATGATTATTGGGCTAACTTTTCATCTCCCCACCTAGACTCTATTGCCGGCCAAATGCAAGCTCTGAAGACTGGCACGGCCCCTCGCAAGAAGAGGGTACCCAAGAAGCAAGCGGATGAGTCGAGTGAGGACGACGAGAGCGACACCGACGGTGACAATGCGGAAATGAGTGAGACAGATACGGAAACAGATACGGACGGGGAATAAAAGGATTTTAATATCAAATAATATCGATTTTATATTTCTGTGCTCCTTTTACTATTTATCCACCATTCTTGTTGTCAAAATCAAAGTTCAAATACCTACCCTGTTAGAGTCGTGAGATAAATTCGCACCTTTTTCTATCTGCTTCTTCCCATTTTTCATTTTCATTTTTTACCTTTAGCTTCGCTTACGCCATCTGTGGTTTCATATATTCTTATCTCTGCTCCCCTACCATGACCATATGAACGGTTGGGTGTTACGCCATAATAAACATGATGCATGGTATCTCTCAGTCTCTCAAATTATCCGCAGATTTCGTTCTCACCAGACGAGTTTCAAAGCAGGGGCAGGCGAGAGTTCTTTACTCAACTAGTCCGACTCTGGTAGCTTGCGCGAAATCCCAGGTCGATCTTTATTCCCGCCAGAGAAACCCTGTTGACATCCATGTCAGCAAATCGACTCAAGCAATAGAATCGCTTTGCTTTCGAAGTGGATACATATAGGCGACGGACCAAACCTTGGCGTCAATTTAACTACATAACCCGCCAATAATGACTACGCTGTATATACTCCAAGCAGCAAAAGCGCTGCCTGGATGAGCTTTGTTGCATCAACAACACCCTCATTTTATGTCATGTATTGTATCAACATGAGTTTGCCGTATTTTTATCTCTAAAAGTATGGGGAATCGTGAAGCCCAGGCGGAGTAATGAGGCCTTCCACTCCACCAGGTTATATGGTTGTTAGTTAGAAATGAAACATAAGGCTGCAAAACCTTGAAATCGTTACGTTCGTCCTAACAATCGCCCGCCGGCTTCCCCGCGAGTCCGTCCGTGGCCAAAAGAACCTTATCTTGCTGATCGCCACTGTCACCGAGAGTTCCCCAGATGCGAGTAGTGTTCGTACCCACAGTTTCATGCATTTGTAGTGAACAGATGCATGCATCGACCACCAGTTTGACATGCAGCTAAATCTTTACAAATGGATTATGCGTGGCGAACACCCCATTGCAGCGGGGAAACATGTTCATATGTAATCCGTACGGAGTACTGTACCTTGGGTTTGTAAGATAGCTCTGCACGAGTCGCCTAAGCGCTAAATGGGGCGAAGATTTTCTTGCTGCTATTCGCAGGGCAGCGGAGTCTACATAATTGCTGTTTGCTGGTCATAGTGTCGGTTACTCTCTCATTGTGTGGGTTGGGAATTGAGGCCTCCATCCCTGAAAGGAGAGAGTTGAATAAATAAAAAGACCAGGCATGTTGGAAAAGGTTTGAGGAAATACCGTCACTACCGCGTGGGCGCAGGAAGGCAGTAGGTTTCTGCTCTCTGTCAATGTTGGGAGACGGAAATTGATATGACGACCAAAAAAAAAAAAAAAAAAGAAATCGCCCAAATCTCTCAAATTCATCCATCTTCAAACACCCACAACATGCACCACGAAGCGGTTATAGAGGCAGCGATTGATGATTTACACTCACAGTTGACCCCTAATTATACTGAAACTGCTAAAAAATATGGAATCAGTCGACATACATTATCACAGTATTATAATAGTATTTAGATGTTAAGAAAGGAAGGAAGCTCAACCCACTGCAAAAATCTCTCAGACTCACAAGAAGAACAGCTTCTTTTTCATATTAATCAATTGTCAGATCACAGTTTCCCTTGTACACCCCAAATCCTTCATAATCTCATTGTTGAGATTCTAAAATCGTCTGTGGGAGTCAACTGAGTGCCATGAGTCTGCCAACACCACAAGAATGTCATCAAGTCGGTTTACCTGCGAAATATCAATCAAAAACACAAGATCGCAGACAATTCTACATACTTCAAGCATTATTTTGATCTTGTATAGATTGCTTTCTTCTACTGCTTTTTTTGCTTTTATCTTGCTAATTTATGTTGATTTGCAGCTACAGGAAAAAATCATCAAATACAACATTGAACCCACAAATATCTACAACTTCAATGAAAAAGGATTTCTATTAGGCCTCATCCACACCCTCAAACATATTGTATCGATTAGTTCACTCAAGTCGGGCCATACAATAGGTGCCAGCCAGAATGGCAGTTGTGAATTCATCACACTACTGGCCTCAATTTGTGTAGATGGAACTTCACTCCCACCTGCTCTCATATATCAAGGGGAATCAAGAGATATGCAAGATACTTGGCTGGAGGATTTTGATAGTGAAAAGGATCAGGCCTACTTTGCTGCTTCAGAGAATGGATGGAGCAATGATGAATATGAGTTAATGTGATTAAAGAAGATCTTTGAATCTCATACAAAAAAGAAAGCAGAGTGTGGGTATAGACTTCTTATACTGAATGGCCACTCCTCCCACATTAATATGGCATTCATCAATTACACGATTTCGCATCGGATTCTACTTGCTGTCTTTCCTCCCTACTCTACTCACTGATCACAGCCGCTAGATGTTGGAATATTTGAACCATTGGGTAAATCATACTCAAATCAATTAAATTTCATGGATGAGAACTGGAATGGAATTCATACACACTACAAAGAGGTCTTTTTGGCAGCTATTTGATGCAGTATGAAAGGAGGCAGTTACATCTTCAAATATTATATCCATGTTCACAGCAGTTGGCCTATATCCATTTGATCCGGACCGGGTTCTTAAAAAGCTCGCAATATGCCCTTGCACCCCCCCAGATCAATATCGACCCAGAACCTCTACTTCTATTATTGGCATGCAGAAATTGATGAAGCAAGTCAAGCAGCAGCAGTGTTGAGTCTCTCATAATCTCAACTGAGTGATCCGTGCAGGGGAAAATCTTGCTTTTGATAAAGAGATTCTTCTAATAGAGAACAGGCAACTACAGCAAGCTCTTAATCAAGAGAGAAGACATCACAAGCATGGCAGGGCAATGAGATTGCTAGATCCTTCAAATCCATCATTGGCACAATTCTTTTCACCAGCAAAGATGCAGAGCATCCGTGAGCAGATGACTGCTGCAGAGGCCACTAAAAAGGATGAACAGATCTGTAAGAAGGATGCCAAGTTGCAACACACTATTCTTAAGAAGCAGAAGAAGGCAGATATCATGTCACAGTGAATGAAGTGGAAGAGAGCTCACCAAGCAGCAAAGAAGCAAAAGGAGATGGATAAGGCTGTGAGAGCCGCTCAACAGCAGATTGAGAAGGAGCTTAGAGATGCAAGAAAGACTCAAGAATAAAAAGAGAAGAAAGAATGAGCTGCTGCACAGCAGCAATCACAGTTAGATAAGATCAGAATTGAAGAATTCAAAAATCATCTTTCTAATCAGAAAAGTAGACCCTCAATTTTGCAAAGAGTGGCTAAATTGCATTTTCAGAGCAAGGCCAGGGTGCTCACAGATCCGCTGCTGGAGGATTCTGATGATATCACAATCCCTACTGATTTGATGACTGCCTGCTCACTGAATCTGCCTCCACCCAAGATTTCGCGTTCTGGGTGAGTTATTAAGTCCAACAAACATCTTCTGAATTAACTATATATTTCTATATGTAATTTTCTATATATATTTTCATCATATAATATATCATATTAAAATCTAATTGCGTTGTTGAGATATTGTTGAAAAGATTTCATCATAGTGGTGGCGAAATGGCGAGCGTTGGGTGGAAACGAGCGTTGGGTAGTTAATTACGTTATTTCGATAAATCAGGGCCAGCGATGTATGTGACTCTCTAACTTGTTCGAGAAAAGATGTACTAGCTATATAAAAAATGTAGGGAAAAGAAGGTCATCTCCCATGAATTATTCCGTACACTAGCTATAAACCTGTATCCTCTTTTTTATCAACTAACTAGTTTTCCTCACGTAAATGCGCACACGATCATGAAAATGTACTGTTGCATATATAGATGTACTTTAAGTACGCACATGTTCCAAATAAAACATTACAGAATTCAGGGGCGTAGTTGACATTATTAAATTGAAATATATGAAAGCAATTAAAAATGATCAAAACGAGGAAAGAGAGAACAAAATGGGGAAAGTAAACAGGGGTATTAAGGGTTGAGGTATGCATGTATCCATAACGAAGAGCTTTAAGGACCAGGTCCTTGAAGGGAGGAGCGGTGATTCGAGAGTTTCAAGTCGATTCCATATCTGAACGTCCTTCCTTCATTCTTCCGATTGCCTAGCGTTTTTAGTCAAATGCAGTGCACATGCACATGTTTCGGGCCGTCCAGCGTAGAGCCAGTTTGGCTCTCTGAGTCGTCCATTAAGACCGGGGCCCCTGTAGCCAATATCTCATCTGCCAGCAAATCTAAGCCACTTCGCCTTTATATAGCCTCCACAGGACTAGGGCCTTACTCTTGCCACCCTGCAGATACTGTATTGGGTATGAAGGACTGAGGGCTGAAGGTGATTGTACTTGTGGGGCCAGCCAACGGGCCCATTGACGTGTCTTCGTCCATAAATTGCATTGCAGTTGGGTGATTATCCCTACCTATTTTGAAAAGTGCAAGGCGCAACAGACGACTTAGGCTAATATGGGCTCGACGGGCGGGGGTGCTAGTTCCTGACAACGCTTGTAACCACCTGAGAACAAAAGATGACTCTTCAATCAAATTTTTGGTTTCGTTGGGCAGGTGAAAGATATCCATTGATAATTCTATTATCAGAATAGTACCAGCCTGCACTATATAATGCAGTATACACCACCAAGGAGTGGTGAGGTAGAGCTCAACTGGCTGGACGTTTTGAGGGAGGAGTTTAATTAAATTCCGAGCGGCAGATAAACAACGGACTGCGGCGTCTTGATCCATTCTCTTCGAAGAAGCGGACTGGGATGGAATTGCGCTGCTTAATTGTTGAGCCTCACAGAGACATGGGCGGTTGATGAGAATGCATGCTCCATAAAAGCGAAGGTAAAGATACATGCGTTCATGCATGGGTAACAGTCCTTCGGAAGCTGGCGAAAGGTCCAGAACTCCAGGGGGAAGGTCGTCCTTCCATTGGGTGAGCTTCCTGTCTAAATCAAACACTAAATTCTGCACGACAGCCCAAGTTCTATTGACTGTGCAGGGACTATACAGCTCCTCCAAAGCCTCGGCGATAATTAAATCTAGGTGGAGACTCCGTATGAAGATGGTCCATGGTGGTATAGAAGAGGTGGTTCTCGTGGTGACATTAGAAGGCGGACATATTGCTGCCATCGCTGCTTGAGTCTCCAGCGAGGCCATATATGCAAGGGGTCCTGCGAATGTAAGTTCAACTGTGCGGGGGAAACGAATACTTGTAAAACGATCCTGAAGTGAGGAAGGGCGCCCCGTGAAGACGCAGATGAATCGTTCCATTGAGCTGATAGCGTGCCAGACTCTCAATTCTAATTCTTGCTCGCTTTCTGAAAGGTCTGTATTTGATTTGACTAGATGAAGAGCCCGAGTATGCCCAAAACGTACTGCTAGACCGATTAAATTCCACGCTCTAATTATGCGATGTTAGTTATCTGTTACGGGATATTTAATGCGTATCACCTCACCTATTGATGTGATAACTCGCAAGATAATACAGTCCGCTGATTGCAGCCCATTGAAGTTGTTCCAAAGATGGAATATCCACAAGAAATGTTGATGTCCGACCTAGCGCTCCTGAACGGAATGCGAACATAACATGATCGCTTTCAACGACACCAGCTTGAGCATTTGTACGAAGAGTGTGAATCGCACCAATGGCAAAGATGACATGGAGGATATTGCGCCACACCTCGCTGGGGTAATGGGCTGTTTGGTAATAAATTTCATAATGCATTTTGAATTCTCGCTCCGAAAGTATTGGAAACATCGGGTGGACAGTCAAGAAATATGAATTAACAAATATGTCAGCCAGTTCTTTTTCAAGGGGTTGAGAGTGGTCACCAGTTTTGTCGAACATTGTTGGGTAGCTTCCAGTGCTCCTGAACACCGAAAAATGGGCCAAGTAGTTGTCTCCGAGAAAATATGTGCATTGTTGAAGCAAACCGTAATGGAATTCATCGAAATTTGCTCCTGAGAGTTTTGTGTTCAAAATATTTCTTGCTACAAGTCCAAAAAATTAGAAAGAACGATCAGAAACTAGCTACAAGGGAAACTTAACTCGCTGGACCAAAGTATATCACCAGTTTTGTTGTCAATTCTTCAATCCACCTGACGACAGAAGCTTTTCCAAGGAATCCTGTAGTTCTAACGAAACCAGCCGAGTTTGGTTGGACGCGATCTTGGAATCGCGGAGAACCAGCACTAGCGGACGCTGCATACTCGTCTTCATCTCCTGAGCCTGCACCTTCAATTGAAGTGGTAATATCCTCTTCAGCAAGATTTCGATACTGTGTTTTGTCAGCACGTCCGTTCTTGATATGCAGAACCACTGGGAACTGCGAATCAACTGGAGAATATCTAGCCAGTCTCAGAAAAAACCTATTGCTTTACCTCTAGTAATGTATTCCGAATTGTTTGCTGCATTTCGGGTGTCTGATGTGGCAGAATGTCGCAAAGAAGTTGCTCATAGGCAGCCACCTTTGCAGCATTGTTTTTTGTATATCTATCACGGCCTCATTTAGCTTAGGAATGGAAAGCGACGACGGAGGAAAAAAAGAGTTATCCAAATTTATACATATTTTCATGAAGCGCCACAGAATCAGTTGTTTGAAATTTCCAGTGGCAGGACTGACCTTTTTAGTTTCTCACGTTTGCCATCCAAATAAACACAGGTTATCTCTTGATATCTGCAACGTGAACAGACGGGCCTGAGACCATCACATTTTGATTTCCGTTTGCGACAGGGATCGCAAGCATGGCTCACCCTTTGCCTTTCAAGAGCAGCAGATGGTTGATTTTGAGCCAGTCGCTGCAGCCTAGGTATTGCAATCTTTGCATCCCCTCGGGTAGGAGAAGAAGACATCACTCGATTCGAGGCTTCAGTTGGTTCAACGAAAGCAGTCGAAAAATGGGAAGTATTAGATACGTTGAGGGTGTCTAGGGATAAATTCTGCGGTTGCCCTTGCGTTCGGCGGCGTTTATCTGTTGACTGATCCATTTCCTTTATGGAGCTGAAGTGATGGAGAGTAACCAGCGGGCCTGAAAGTTCCGTGTTTTGTAAATTCGGACCATAATTAATTGTAGTTCTCGTACGATGGGAGATATAAATAATCCCATGAAGAAATAAATTCTCATGACAGAACTGTTGCGAATTGCCTCGTATTAATCCACAGTTCTAGGTCAATCATGCCGACATCCTGTTCTTTTTATCCATCCTTGTCCATCAGCAATCGCTCGGAAGGCTGCAGGCCACTTGGCAACCTATCGCATAGGCCCTTGCGGATCAGGGATTCCGAGTGCTCGTAAGGCCGCCTTGCGTTGCAGTTCGGAAAAGCCATGGATGGTCAAGAAAAGATCTGGTAGGGCACAATTTACCAAGTGGGTCAGGCCTTATTGTTAAGAAGGGAGTGTGGTGTTCGTTCAGCTAAGGCCTTGGGAAAAGAATATGCTTAGATGAAAACCCGCCATGTCTCCGGTTTATTTATTCAATAGGAAACAATTCTGTCTTCCATCGAAGCACTGTAGCAAGGCGAGAGACCCAGGCTTCGTTTCCAACCCATACGATTGGGAGCCCAGACAAACTGCTGGCCTAGAAGGTAGGGGCTAGAAGAGGGTCCAATATCACGACTAGGTATAACCTTGGCACCATCCAAAAGACAACTGGTGTATCTGTTACGAGGGCACTGACACTTTCGTTTGTATCGATCTCAGCGTTATGCAGTATATTGACCCAAAAAACCGCCTGCATAGGTTATCCTAAGCTTAGATTTCCCAATGCAGCTGCCACAAAGTATGAAATCGTGTTAAGAAGGCTTTGGCTTAGCAGATGATGACGTACCGTTAAAACAATATAGCTATGCATGAAAGAGTTAACGCCCGCCAATTTTAACCAGCTAGCGGATTGTAAGGCTCGCTCGAATTGTGGCCAGTATTCTGGTTAATAAGCCATGTACAGGTACAAAAAAGGATATAATTGACGCGCACTTTTGATTCCCCGCAAAATCAGACTTTTAGGCCGAGTTTTCCTGATCGGTGTGGCCCATCTGGTATACGAAAGGAACAAACCCAAGGTCGCCATGTGGCATACTATGCGTCATTCGAATTGACATTTATGCAAAAACCTTGTATGAATAAAACCAAAGCATCAAACCCTCCGATGTAGCCGATATTCTAAGACCAGATGATGCCCCGACGCATCAGAGCCAACATCGGGGGGAAACATGGGCTTGACTCCACACAATAAAACCTAAATATCGGAGACTGAATCCATATACATACGAGTAGATAGATATATAGGTGTCAGCATCATCAGTTTAAGTGTAGGGATAACTCTATTCTACTCACAAAAATTCCTTTTGATAATGGGAGTGTTCAAACATGCTGTCCATGATGCGACAATGACTTCGAGTTCCTCAGGACACTGGAAAAATGGAAATTTACATTTCATTTTGCCATATTCAAGTACTCAAACGTCCATTGGAAAATTGTACCAGTTACATCGAAAAGGGCAACGACATTGGCTGGTCACAATTTGGACAACTAAAGGTTACCAAACACGATGATTAGGTATAGGTCGTTCAAGTTTGGTTGTCCCTAAATGATCAACACCAAGCTAGTAAAATATCCCTCATTCAATCTTAGCTCACCTCCTCGGCTGAGTGAAGAGAACCCGGTCACAGAGAACTGGGGAGTGATGAGAATTGCCTGTTTCTATTCTTTTTCTTTTTCTTGTTCTTTTTTGTCAAACGTTATGGAACGGCAAAAATAACCACCAGTACTATATATGTTATTGAAAATAGGCAAAGGAAATTGTGGCAGCAATTTTTAGTTTAAACCGTGGAGAGCATCATGAGGAAATAACATTTTCCTTGCTTAAATTTGACCTTCTTTTGATAATTGAAGGTACTATCAGAGCTGGAGGTATTCTGTCTGTGATGGTGACGCTTTGTTCGCCATTTATTCGATAAATTGCATTTAAAATTAACCATTGGTCAAATTTTCGAGAAGGGTAGTGGGATGTCAGATGTTTTTGGATGGATGGCAACAGCCCCCGGGAAGACCTCGACCAAAGAATTTTGTGGCAAGTACAGATTTGATTTTATTATTGGAATGAACTGTGCATTGACCCTTGGGAAGGCACCAAACAAACCAAAACGCCGAAGCTAAATCAGTGTCAACAAGAATGCGAGAGCGATGTTGTTCCGGTGGTAATGATGCCTAAAAGCTATACCAGCTCCGCTTTGTTAGGGAAGTCGTCGAAGCATCGCCAAAAGCAAATGTATGACCAGAGTAGTCATATTGGTCAACAATAATCACTCCACTGGTTGAATGCGTATATTGTTGAGAAGACCGACGAACCTGACCGGGAGACGCAAGTTTTGATATTGATCCTCGCTGAATCAAATTTGATTGTTCTTCATCCCCTAGACTGTAGAATGCGCATACGTGTACATGGACATCCATTATATGCCCGGCCCAACAGCCGCACAAAGTGTTGTTTGCTTTGTACCGAGAGTGATCGAGGACTTAGCTCCCGCCGAGGTAAAGCTACCAACATCGTGAGATCATCGACCAGCATCAAAAATGAGCTGGGAAATGCAAGCTCCCAGTTGGGAAAAGTTAGGGTTATGGTCAGGTATTCTGAAACCACTGACTGGGGAATTCAGGGTGGGTTAACAGCTTTGAAAAGCACAAGTACCTGGGCACAAAGACATCTACTTGTTTATTCGTGGAAGAGGTGAAGTCGATATGGCCTGCCGGGAAAACTTTTTTCCACATCGCCGCCAAGTAGTAGTTAGTTATCAACTATGAACAAGAGCAAGAAAGGAATCCTTTGATTTATGAAGGGTTATTTGAATAATTCTGTTTTCTGTCCATAATGAAACTTGCCACGAATAAGCCCATTCTTTCGGGTTTTATCTTTTCTACCCTAGATTTCTGTTCCATCCTATCCCTGTCAAACCCAAAAAGAGGATGCAAAGAGAGGGTCATATATAAATAGTTTGATACATCAGTGCCAGAACCAGAGACTCAATTAATTGTTGGTAAGTGGTAGGACGGAAATTGAAACTGATAATTAACCCTCCTATTGACTCTCTCTCCCGAAAGCGGCGAAAACTCATACTGATTCGAATTTGGTTGCGAGGCCATTACGCACCCGGACTGGTCACTCTCTGCATCACCTCGCATGAAGGCGATTCATACTCAACAAGGCCCCGGCCGATTCATACATGCTTTTGTCAGTAATGGTTTCCCCCCGGCCAGACGCTGTACCCAATCACAGTGTCTCCATATTCGACGCTCCAATCCGCGATGCTCCCTTCCAAGCTGCTTAAAGTCGTAGTAGCGTTATCAAAAAGGCGTTCTGTTCGCTCTATTTGATTCTGTGTATCCTTTTGGGACAGTGACCATTCGCATACGGCGGAGATATGTTCTGCCATTTCGCAAGGGACCGCGGGAACCCCTTGGCTCGATACCACATTATTCAGCCTGTCATCCCCTAACCTGTTGCTCAATTGGCTTTCTGTGCCAATTTCGATCGATGCTGGACTTCTTTCGGTATCCTGAGGCGAGCTAACAATGCTCTGAGATACCTTCGCTTCGCAATTCCTGGCTATTGGACTATATGTCATTATACCATCCCATAAAATCAACCTTCAACTGGAGCTTAGCTACCTTTCTTCCTGGCACACGTTTTCGCTTTCCATTCATCTAGATATCTAGCATGTCTGTTGTAATTTTCCGACTTTTCGTACTTAGCAAGAGCAACTTTGTAATCTTCCCGATCGCGGATGGCGCGTGCCTGGGCGATTTTCTTTTCGTTTTCGGGCAACTCTCTCCACAGTTTCCCGATTTCGATCGCCATCTGAGGAAATGATAAACCTTTGTACCCAAGGTCTGCGCGTTTTTCTATGGCAATTCCATTTTGAGCGTAATTCGGAAAATACTGCTGTTTTATGTCAACTTACCATTGGCAAATATGGCATAAGCAGTCAACGGCTTTTTTGGGGCATTTGGGTCAGGCTGTAGGCTCGATAAATTTTAATTAGACACCTCATACATTCCCTCGAGGATGCTATAGATTAACTTGCTAACAAACACGCTTTAGGTCAGTCAAGGATCCGAACCTTGGGATGCCACTGATATCGTCTCTTCTTTTTGGAATAATTGCCGTATTCGCCACACTGCGCCGGCTGATTGCAGAGGGCATTTCTTTCTTTTGCAACTCGTTGCTGCAATCTCTAAAGCATGGGTGAGCATGAGAAGAGCACGCTGTGGTCGACAAAGACATACCCTTCGATGGCCCAATTTGACCCCCAACACGTCTCTTCTCACATCAGTACTCGGAACATTGCTGGAGGAAAGTTGAAATCATACAGATCAATTTCAGTGATTTCCAAAACGTCCTCCCATGTTTCGAATCCATTGCCAATGAACCCTGGTAAATACTGGGACATCCCCAGCTCCTCAAATACCATTTTAAGGACTTCCATATTAATTGCAGAAAGGAGTGATTGTGGAGCAGCAAAAAGCGATCACGTTGA